AGCAGGCCAAAGTAATCTTTTTAATATGCAAGGAATAGAAGATTTCTCATTTGTTTGGCAATTGAAACACCCCGTAAGTAATCTTCTCTCAGATGCGTTACCAGGGTTACATGTGTTACTTTGGGGGTAAATTTGGCCTTTAAACATTATGAACCTTTTTCTCAAATGATACCAACAGTTCAGAAAAAGAAAAGAAGTTGTAATAAGAAGTTATGAGAGGATTGCTCTGGGTGGGGAGGTCAATATGCCACAGCAAATCACCTTTTTCCAAGGCAGTAGTGAGACAGGACACAAATGAGCAACAGGAATGACATTTCATAACAACACCAGCAACCATACTAATTTGTCTGTATCCTTAGCTTAAAATCCTGAGCTGTGGATTTAAGAATTTTTTAGGCCAGTTTACCTCATAGACAGGAGGAACCTTCTAATATTTTACATTGCCTGTTCTCCTGGATTTTCATTGTTTATTATGTTTCTTTCAGTTTTTTGGTATTTTTTTTTCTTGATACACTCATTAATTGTATTTAAATGCTAATTTTTAATTACACTTAACATCTGAATATATTTAATCATAGAACATAGTTCATACATAAAAAAAAATAAATAGAGCATGAGGAAGTTTCTATGTTTAATAGAAAAGACAAACCATGTATCTGCTTTGCACATGATATCTTTTTTGAGTCCAAGTAAGAGAGGGCAGAAAGGTCTGTTTTTGTTGTACACTAGAGTGGTCCATGTTCTGCTGTCACATTCACTGTGACTTCTCCATCTTTTATTATTTAGAGATTAAATTTTCACTATCCCTGAAATAAGATTTATTACATAAAACCATTTTCTGCCACCTTGTAATTTAACAGGTGTGAGATATCTTTCTGGGTTAGTAGAAGATGTACAGTCTTCAAATCCACTTGCACAGAACGTAAATAAAACCTTACAGCAATGTGAATAAGAAAGCCCCTTGACAGCTGAAAAGGCGAACAAAGGTTGACATTCATTGGTATTTATGCCATATTGAACAGCTACCATTACCTCAACATGGGAGAAAGTGGGACACAGAAAAATGCAACCAGAAAGCAGACTCACTAGCCCAAAGGTAGGATACAGTTCCCACCAGCTGTTAGATCCACTACACTTCTTTCTGGCATTCCTTTATTTCTGAAAGCATAATTTCAAAATTTATTACAAAATTACATTTAGTTGATGCAAAACATTTAATCCCTGTCTTCTACACTTTGAGGGAAATAGGCATACTCTTCTCTAGTAGTTTTGCCTGGCTGCTGGAAGAGACACACACTTGTACTTACTTGACCAGGAGTCATCCTTGTACACACACCTTGACCCAGAACAGCTTCTCGGTGCAGATTCCTGAGGGCCATGTACTTGCTCCATGTACTTTATTGTGAGCAGTTTTCAGTTTTAAAGATCTGGAGACTGCTGAAAGCATTCCGTAGCTTGTAAGAAGGCCTGTTTGTTTTTCTGTTTTTCTATGCTGGCAAGCAGAATATAATACCTCGTTAAAAACTTGTTTATTTTTCAAACAGACTGTCCAGAAGGGTCTGGTGTTTTTACATATCAGTCATTACGTCCTGGATTTATCTTTACTTTCATTTGTTCATTATTTTTCATCAGAAAGCTTTTCTGCCCATGTTGGAGTAGAGCTCTCCATCAGGTATCTGTGAACATCGTATTACTGCCTAATGAGTCATGGAACAGTTTCACGTTGTTCCTTTGCCAAATTAGTGTTTTCAGGCACAAATTAATTCAGTTACTTTTTGATACAGATCTTTTTTTCTCTGAAATGCAGTGCAGAATATATAGTGTTAAACCTGTCAGAAAAGTGTGTTGACTAACAGTGGTGCCTTTAAGCAGAGGCTAAACAAGATAATATCAGAAGCTTCAGGGGATAATGTTTGAAATCACTGAGGAACATTCTTAAGACAAAGATTGCTTGTCTGAGATATTCCTTACTAGAGGTTTCACTGTCTTGCTTAAATTATGCATGTATGAATTACCTTACCCTAAAGTAAAAGAAGCTATAAAAAGTAACTTATTTACATCCATACAATGTAAGAAGGGAAACAGGACAAAATACGAGCATAAGGATACTCACATCTGATCATAGATGCAGTCATCTTGTCCTAGGAAAACTGAATGTTTTATCTTTAAATCAGTTTTAGGTAAATAATATTTCAGTAGAAAAGTACTATGTGTATACAGACAGAATATTTTGTTTACACCAATTTGTATTTTCCCACCAATCAAATAAATCATTTGAGATACTGAACTGAGATAGCACATTAAAAAAGGATTGGTTAGAAGAATAATATGATGGGAGGATGTACTCAGTGAAGTCATTTACTTTCTGATTTTGTGATTTCCTTTTGGAATTATGAGTGTGATTTTACTGGGAGTCTGACAAAAACAGATGTTGCCTTAAACTTTTAAAGTAGAGTGTTCTTTCTTCCAACAGTACCCTTTTCTAGGTCAGTACACTGAGTGTGCCTTGGCACTTGGCAAACTAATAGGTTTTAAGTACTTGTGAAAATTACCTCTTCTCTTCAGCAGATCTGTTTTCTATGGCATTCCATTCCCTTTAGAGCACACCCACCCTGTGATGCAGAGACAAAGAAGGCAGGCTTGTGCACTGACCAAATTAGAAATTTATCAAGATGAAACTTAAAACAATGTCTGTATACCTACAGCCTTGCAGATGATCCACTCTTACAGGTCATCACTGAAGGAAGAGCTGGAAGCAGACTGTTAAAGAAGTCATTTACTGTAAATTAGGGGTATGTGCTTTTCCTTTTTCTTTTAAGCAAACAAACCAAAACAGGCTGTAAGTTGTTTGCTGCATTTTAGAGTATAGTCTATTCATGTGTAAACATCTCTTCCCCATGAGTTCCTCCTACACTCCAGCCTCCATTGCTTGAGACAGCTGAACAAAAGAACTGTCTCTTCCACTTCTTTTCATGCTGCTTAAATCCTCCACTGAAGCCCTTAATATCTTCCTCCAAAATGTGCCTCAACCATATCATACAAAAATCACAGTCATTACCAGTTGAGATGCTTTTTTCATTATGAGTGTCACAAGTGATGTCCAGTGTCACCCACCAGTGACAACTGTAATGAGTCTGAAATGCCACAGTTTTCTCTGGTCCATGGATTATCATACAAGCAGTCACCCAGCTCATAGGATTATCTTTGAGACATTCCAGTTCTGTTTCAAATGACAGCCCTGTCTTTTCTCTTAGTCTCAAAAGAATATAAAGAATGGAAAAGGACTTTCCTGAGTTCTTTTTAAAACCATCTCAGAGCAAGGCTTAATGGGACACCATCAGCTGGTCTGACCTACTTTGAAATTCTTACAGTCTGACTGGAAAGCCCTCTGGACTTTAAGCGCTTTATTCTGTCTCAGGTCAACCTTTGTTGCTGAAGCTGCTTTTATTGTGCAACTTATACATTTTCCATGCTCTGAGTCCTACTGCGGCACATTCATATTGATGATGGTGGGCAGTTCTAGAATTGAAATTTGAAAATTAAAATGTCAAAAATTGAGCTGTGTTAAAAAGATGGGAGAGGGAAATTATTTTCAAAAGAAAAAGCTCTCTGGAAATAGGAACAATTTTCAAGGTTAGATTAGAGAAAAGGCTCTCTAAAAGAATTTTTCAGCATTGTTCAGAATAAACAAGAGATGACATCTGATTAAGTACAGTGGAACTGGAATAACGGCACTTCTGAAGTAAAATGAAAATCTGTATGCACTTAAAGGAAGTCAAAGATGAGATCACTAAAAGAGAAGAAGCTTAAAGGAAAGAAGACAGCTAATTTGGTCACTCTGGATCTGCACTGTTCATTTTCCCTCTATTGCCTGCATTGCACAAGTCCCTGAGCACACATCTGCTAAGAACTCCTTAGTAGTGTTGGACCTCCTCTTCACAGTAGTCACTTGGATCTTCTCTTCACTGCCTCCCTTTACAGCCTTTTGAGGAGCTACCCAGAACACTGGTTAATTCAAATATTTTTTAAACATCTTCAGAAGCCTCTCAGTCCATTTACTAGACTTGGGAAAATTCAGTTCTGCTCTTCCTACTCTTGCTTATCTCAGATGCTGTATCAGCACTTATCCAAGGCTGGTATTTAAGGTGGTCCCTGCCTTCCCTCCAGATTCCTTGCCAGTTCAGCCCCATGTCTCTTTAGAACATTCTGTATTCCATCAGCTCCACCTTCCCCACCAGTTTTGTTCACCCCACTCTCCTCCACCTTCGTGTCTCCTTCCCTGTGCTGATTTCTGAGGCTCTGCCTTCCTGCCCATCATCCTGTGCTTGAGAGGCTGCACCAGGACATCCTTTCTCTCCTCACATGTTCAGTTAGAGGACATGGGAGGAGAGAAGTCAAGCCAATCTCAAGAGCAAATGGCAAGACACTAAACCAGTTGTTTTTCAGTCCCCTCCTTCTCCAGTGGAAGGAGGTTGGACCAGAGGCTGCCTGAGGTCCCTTTCAACCCAAATTGCCTTAGGATCACATTTTTTCTTACACATTTTTTTTACCATCCTTACCAATGTCTCCCCATTCTTCTACTATTTCCTATAGTCTGGATCATACTTACAAGACAAGGTAAGCTCTACTCGGCAGACATTGAAAGCTTGTAAGAGCCTTTTGGGTTTACTTGTTCATGGTGTTTTTAAAGGTAACTTGGAAGATGGAACCTTCCAGGATAGTAAAACCAAACACTTGGAGAGCTATGGGATAACTGTGGGTAATAAAAGTCACAGTTTAGCTGTCCAAGGAAAAGAAAAGAGGGTGATTATAGGCAGCAAGAATAATAGAAATAAATTATAGGAGAAAGGAAATTAAATTGGGGTCAAAAGGAGCAGGGTTGTCCCCATCAGGATCTCTGGATTACTGAAGGGCAAAAGTGATAGATAGCTTGAATCACTTGAAGCACTGACCAAAATGACCTTAGCAATTCTGTAGTGATTTGATATAAATATGTCTCTTCATCTGTAAGTTGCTCTCTATAGTAAGAAGAAAAAAAAAACAGAAAAAATTGTGAGAGGTTTATTTTATAGACTGTATTAAAAAAATCAATTTCTGAAAAGCTTTATTACCACAGATAAACAATAAAAAAATACCCCAAATCAAGAAAGTCAGTATTTTTCTCTTTTTTTTTTTTTTTATAAGATGGTAACAAACAATAGGAACAAGTCCTTCAGACTTATGCAGCTAATATAAAAAATTCCATATGCCCTGACATCATTCAGAAGTTAATGTTCACAATTATTTGTATTCAGTCTGAACTGCTTGGTCCAGACTGGAGAATGCAATTTCAGAAAGCTTCAGGAGGGAAAAGCTCTGTAAATGTAAGGGATGGAGGTTATGAAGTATTAACATGACGCTAAATTGCTGCCTATCATGTTTGCAATGGGCAGTTTGCAATCTGTTCATCCTGATGGATTTAGCACAAGGGAATCTGAAGTCCTGGCTCTGCAATTTCTGTCTCTGCCTAGTAATTGATGGCTAATCTGTACCCACAAATCATGTGTTAGCGCCAAAGGAGTTTGGGACCCTGCTCATCTCAAACTGCTCCATTACACTCAGAGGAGCAGTAATAAATGGAAAGTAAGGAAAAGTTGAATGCTAATGAACTAAGCTAGTACAAAACATAGAAATACAATTTCTCAAAAAGTACAAACCCATTTAGTGTCTTAATGAGTTATTGAAAAACCAATAATAAAGATTTTGTGGTTTGAAGCCAAATAAGTATTTTTCCACATTTTTTTCTTTATCCACTAAGACACTGCACGACTTATGATGATCTTCCTGGTTTACTGCAGGAATTAAACATGTTCATGTGGAAATGAACATGTTTACTGCAGAGTTCTTTCCTTTTATGATACTTTGGTCACCTTTCTCAAAAGCAAGAAGTTGTATCTTTTAAACATTTTACTTATCTAGAGCATTAAATAGGTTGAAAATTGTGCTCATTTCATGAAAGTGGAGGATAAATCCTAACTTTAAACAGACTTTCTTATCCTTTGGAATATATAAAATAAATTTCTTCTCTGATGGAAGAAAGTAATTATTGCAAGGGTTATCTCACAATCATATAATTAAGTAGGAATCCTGAAAGAACTGAAAGTAGATGTGAAATCTATAATCTCCTACTGAAGTAGTTTCTGCAGCAAAACGTATTTGTCCATCATTCATATTTTCTTAATACCAAAGAGTTCCAGTGATGGTCAAAATGGAGCTTCTCAACTAAAGTGCTTAATTGGCATTCCTATGAAAAGATGGATAACATAGCTCCTCAAACTGGAAATGGAGATGCTTGCTTCTGTGGTGTACAATGCATCTTCTTTCATCCAATAGTGATGGTATTTTGTATGGCAATACCTGAAACTAAAGAAAACAGTATCAGAAAAAAGAGGAGGTTAGTTAGGTCTTTCCTAATTTATCTCAAATGTTGTAATTTTGGCTTTCACAGTAATGAATTCTCCTCTTTATTACAAAAGACAACAACAGTGAAACTAAGAGGCAGACAAAATAGACGATGCACATCAGATTGTATCGAAAGACCTAAGACTGATACTGGACAGCTGAATGGTGGCTCAGGTACCTGCCCCATGACAGTATGATACAGCAACCTGAGTGAGGTGCACTGGGTCTTACCCACTTTCAGGGAAGCTGAGCCAAAAGCTGCCCTGGAGAGCATTTATCATATTCACCTGGCTGAAGTGCCCCTCTGTGCCCAATTGCATTTCCCATTTTGTACTGATACACAGTGGGACAAATTTGGAAATAATGAAGTGAGGGCAGCTTTTTCCACACTCCCAAATGAAATGCTTCTCAGTAATCATCGATGACACTTTTGAAATTTGGCCTGCATCTCCCAGAGTAACATGTGATGAGTGTAATGGGTTTGTTACTCTCCCTGAGAAGGAAATGGAAATAGGATAGGTCATTTGATGTGTATTTTACCAATAAGGTATTCCATACCATGTTATGTCAGCTCAGATATAAAATAGACGGGAAGGAAGCAAGTGGCCCCTTCTCTTCCAGGTAGCTGAGCGGAGCAGTCGGGCAGTTCCTTCGGGGGAGAAGAGCATCGGTTGTGGGGAAGTATCTTTATTTTTAGTTCTTCTCTGTGTGTATAGTGTTTATAGTATCTTCCCTCTTTGTGTAAACATAAACACCCTTTCTTAGCAGCTTCAGTTCCGTAGGGGTTTTTTTTCCTTCTTTTTCCCCCTTCCCCCCTCCCCTTCCCTCTGGAGGGACTGGGCGCAGGGCCACTAGATACCTGGTGTTCAGCCAAAGTAAACAATGACTATGTATTCAAAGTAAACAATAAATATGAAAATGCTCTGATCTCAATCAAGTTCAGCTTACTTTTTAAGGAACTATACAATGCTGAGGGAGGAGAAGAGGGAGGCAGTGTGTAAGCACAGGATTTCTGTACTTCTTGTTTGCACACTGAGTGAAAAAGCAAATTTAACTTGTCACCCATTCTGGTAGTTCCTGTAGCTGCAGGCCCAGTTACAACGTCTGTCTCCATTTTCTTTTACATTATAAGAGCTGGGATAAGAAGTGTACCTTGGCTGCGAAATCATACTGGAGGCAGCAGCTGCTGAAGTGAGCTAGAAAATGACAAGTGTAGGCAGGATACCATGCATCAAAAATTGATGCTGGCTAATGGAACAGTGGGTTTAAACAGCCTACACAGTGCTCCTTATAGTCCAGTTCTGCCAGCAAGCAGGAGTGCTTCCCTTTGGAGCCCTTTGTGTCTGTTTTGGAGAGATACACATCCTGGCATGCATTTTATGCAGGACCCAATAACTGTGCCAAGTACCCTGGAATGTGCTCAGCAATCTGATTCTGTGAGCTCTTTTGTACTGAGAGGAGTTTTCATTTTAATGTAAGATTAAGACTTGAAGCAGAAACAGAGGAGGAATTACCTTTCATGATACTTAAAAAACAAACGTAATTAAAAAACAAATGTAATTGAGTGCATACACTTCTGAAAACAATTTAAAGCTGCATGAGGGCATTAATCATAGAATCATAGTTATTTACAGAAATTACTGAAAGTATAAAAAAATTGTCTAACAAAAAGAGCCAACTGGCAAACCCAGTAGGTCAGTATATTAGTAGGAACTTCTGCCTTCAGCAGCTTCACTCCATATTTAATGATAGCTTTAACTCCAGTAGTATCACTTCAGAGCACTGAAGCAATGCTTTTCAGAAACAGTGTCAAAAGGATAATTGGAAGGATCCTAGCAATTTAAAATCACATCTACTATTCTTTACAAACACCTGCATGAAAAACAGCTTAACTGTAATCTTTCTCTCACTCCTGAGCACACTCAGTACTTGTCTTTGCTAGAATATTTTATGAGTTTCACTGTTTTCTCTGCATAATATCTATCTTCTGTTGTTTATGTGGGTGTCTTGCTTGAAGACAGATGAGAGAGAGATTCTTTAAAATATGAAAACATTTTTGTAAAGTCACAGTCACATAAGGAAAAGCAGGGGAAGAATATTTTTAGCTGCACTTTCTGTTTGTGCTACTAAGTTCATCAATGATGGCATTTAAAGACCTCTTCAAGAAGGTAGCAGGGGCCTGAGCCAAAGCCCAGGTAATACCCTAGGTACATCTGCACTGAACTTTTCTGGCACTAGACTAGAATATGCACAATCACATTTCTAATTTGCTAGGGGAGTGTTTCCTTAGAAAACAATGGCAGTGATGATACTGTGAATGTAGCTGGATAGGAATCAACCTCTCATACTCTTAGTTATTTACTGTGGCCATGAGGGTTCATGTCTACATGCTTCTCAGATTGTAAGAGAGTAAAAGGACCCATCAAATTCTTCTATTTTACAATTTCTTTGAAAGAGGTTTTCATCTTTTCAGCCATACACATGCTTCCCCTGTGCGTCGTCCCTACCTGTCATCCACATTGTGGTCCAGTGTTATAATCCATTTCACCTGAAGATAAGATCCTGCCTTAAATTCTATGTTCACTGGGAGGCTGACTTGTCTTATCTAACTATACAGCAGCACTGTCACTCAGAAAGAAATACAGAGATGTGAAGCACCTTACATGTTCAAGAATCTCAAAGCTCTTTACAAAGAGAGTTGAAAGCATTGATGGCAAAAGGCAGTGTACTAAAAATCATTGGCAATTGCTGATGTGGAACTTTCATTATCTTTTATGCGGCCTTTAACATGTATACCCATTTTATTAAAAGAATTAATGGGATGTAGGACACCAAGATTGTTTTATCTTTCCCTCAGGGCATTGATTGTCAAAGAGATTGCAGTAAATAAAATGTTCGGGATAATAGCGACTGATTTGGGTGAATTTGATCTAGCATCAGGTCAGAGCATAGCACTGGGCACTTCCAAGAAAAAAAAAGAAAAAAAAAAGAAAAAAGGGAAGTCCACAACAGTTGGCTTTAAGACACTTAGTTTTTCTTCTTTCTTTCCTCGTAAAATGGCAGCACTTCCTCCAGAAACTGTCAGGTCTGTATCAGTCTCTAATTTCCCCAAACAGAACAGTGTTCTGTCCCTAGTCATTCATGAAATCCATTAATGCTGCTTTTGATTCAGACAATACAGTGCTGCTTCCCCTTAAACAGGCACTCAAATGTAAAAATAATAGTTACTGTGAAAATACACAGAGATTAAGTAACCTATGCTGAAGAGATTCTCCTTTGGCAAAGGCACAAGTGCAGAAGTTGTGCATTTTTTATTAACTGAATTAGCTGTCAGCGTGATAGTAAATAATGAAGCATGTGTGTGCATTTCTGTGCATGCACACAGATATATAGATACACACAGACACATGGGGTATAAGTATATTTATAAACATGGCCACATGTGTATGGTCATATGTTTATCAGTGTATTTTATGATCAACAGTATTGTCTTAAAGACTTTAAAATACACTTATAGAAAGAAACATGTCTTTTTCTGGCATGAAAAGAAAAACACAGCAGAAAGTTGCAATGTGTAATTGATTATAGGTATCTCTCCCAATCCACTAACAAGAGGAATACTTCCCTGTTGCAAACTTCAGCAATGAGCAAATAATATGCAAATCAGTCTCCCCTGACCATTCCTGTGGCCAAAAATAATGTCGTTCAGCCTTTCAGCTTTCGATGTGTTGGGTTAAGGGCCACTGCTGAGGCCATCAGCAGGTTCTCCAGCTCAGTAGCAATAATGATGGTGATCAGAGTGATCCTTGCTTTTTCATTTCCTCCTTCTCATGCTGCTGTTACAACTACCACAGCTGCTGTGTAGGCAGCCTCCTGACAGAGAATCAAATGCTGTGCTGTAGTTAATGCTTTTTCTTAGTGCAGCTTCAGCTGGCTGGAAATGAGGAAAAGTGTAGCTCAAAAGTGGTTTGCCTGTCCCTGTCTTGCCTATTCGATCCAGGGCATGCATGGAGGTAACTCTTACCAACTAGACAGAAGCCAGATTTGAAGCAGGGAAGGGTGAGATTGGCACTATCCCAGGAGCTCACTCAGATTTCTAGCTCTGGCTAGAACCCTTCCTTATTTGAGGAGGCTCTTGTATCAGTGGTCTGAAATGCATGTGCTTCAGGGGAGCAGCAGTCAGTGTGATACAAAGATGATCCTTTTTGATCAAGAAGCTCCTGATACATACTTCTTATCTCCATCCCACCTCCTTCTCTGGAAGAAAAACAGGTTTTATCAAGTCGATGTAGTCTAAAACTGTCTTTGTCAATTCTGGAACTTAATCATTTTGGCATTTTTCAGTCTCAGGGCTCAGCTGTTCATGTGCAGCACTTGTAGCACAGCCAGCTCCTCCTTGTTGAGCAAACTAGTCTTTAGCAGCATTGTAGAGACTTTATAGAGACAAACCCAGCACTCATGAGAAAATCTCCTTCCCCAGCCTTGGTAACCAAAAGCACTTCTTGCTAGCAAGCTTTTCAGTAGCTGCAGCATTGGTAGCCACTGAGCCACCCACAGACACAAGTAGTAATGAGCTGAATCTGACCTTATCAAAGGAAGGGAGAAGTGGTTTTTTGGAGGAAGTGAAGCAAAGCTAAAGCAGAAAGCACTTTTGATTATTTTCACAGAGTGTTTAGCTCTGAGACAGTATGCCTTTGAGAAATGTATTCAAAACCTAACATCATGAAAGGCAAGATCTAGATCTAAGTTCCTGCCTCTGCAGCCACATCCTTTAATAATATTTTCACACAATGTCATGTAACACTACAATTCCATGTACTCAGCATTATTCCCACAGATCACATCCAGCTTTCACCTCACTGCCAGCTGTCCCTCTGACAGGAAGACTGAGTTATGACCTGGAAAGCAAGGCTGCTTCTGTACAGTGCAGCATTGAATAAGGCTTTTGGGGTTTCTCAAAACACCTAATCTTCTTTCAGTCACTCACCCAGAGATTAAGGAAAGGGATTGATTAATCCCAAAGTGTCCCAGATCTCATATATTGTCTCATAAAGCAATCAAATATCTGAAAAGTTGTTCCATCTCTTCTTTCTACCCTTTAATACTTAACACTTAATGAAAGCAAAAGGTCATCCCAACATTTACTCCCATGTCTAGCAACACAAAAATTAAATTTGCATGGGAATGGGCCATGACTTCTTTCCCAGCTTCTAAAAGATGAGTTTTGGTGAACGCGACGTCCTGGGTGGACAAAGCACACTAGTGATCAGCCATAATACTGTATAAATGAAGGCACTGAATACAGGTGAGCACCCCCCTAGTGACGCATCCTATTACAACCTAGGAAATGTCTTATTTTTAACCCGAGAGTAAATCTTCTCACAAAAAAATAATTAAGGTGGGCAGGTACATAGCAGACAGGGATATGGGAAGATAAAGAGAGACAGTTGACAAATATCAGTAAAAAAAAATGGTCTAGAACTGAAATGGCTGGGAGGAGTCTCTGAGAAAAGGAAGAAGCTACCCTACAGGAACCCTGCAAAACGCCTGCTCACTGGGAAGCTGAGTCCAAATGGCAAACAGCTGAACTCAGATGATCTGAGAGCTGCTCTCAGTTATGTTCACAGACTTCCCAAGTCATGTTATCTCATTGTGCCTCCTGATATTCTCGTTTTAGAACAGTAATAATAACAACTTCTCATCTCTGTAAGTCCTCATAAGATCTATGGATGGCAACCACTTAAAAAGTGGTCAGTATTTTTAATTAATGTAGTACACCATCCTATGACCCAGCCAGACTCACTCAAACACCAAAAAATTATCTAGCTCAGTTTTTAATTTGTTATGGAGGTACCTCATCTTCTGTCAGCAACGCTGTTGAAAAATTTATTCTTTAGCTCTACTCTCAACGTACAATTTCATCTTCATGGTTCAACATGAAGCAAAAAATTCAAACTGCTCTTCAGTAGATCAATTATTTTTAACACAATAAAAAGATAGCATGACGTAATATTGAGTTTTCAATATAAAATTCCATCCAATTTAAACAAAGGTAAAGAAGGAGCCTCCTTAAGCTTTGAACCTAAAAAATTACCACACACAGTAATATCATCTGTTCAAGTAGCATAACCTTGTCTATATTACTTATTCAAGTAGCATCTGTTCTGTTTCTAGACATTACAAGTATTTTCAGGAAGAGATACCTCTTAGTGCACATTTCTTTCCAGATTATTTCCTTATATCTGGACTTCCTGAAACAATTACTGGAGCACAAGGCCTGGAGAAAGTTAGAAGTGGGAGACTAGTTTTAGTTCCAAGTGGAAACTATCTTCTTGTCATTCCTTCTGACTGGTGTGAGAACATCAGAGTGATCGATTTCTTTAGTTTGGGGAATTTCATCAGCAAGCTATGTATTTAAAATATGGGATTTTCTTCAGAGATCATTTGCAAATTGCTTTTTTCCCTCTGCCCTTGTCAGAAACAAATGTCAGTACATTGCTGAAGTGTAGGACACAATACTTTACACCAGAAAAAAAGTGTCAGAATTTGCACCAGGACCTGCAGGGACACACAGGGTTTAATGGGCTAACACATTTGATGATAGATCACTTTTGGTAGCAGAAGGAAAATTGATTCTCTTTTCCTGCCACCTACATCTTACAAAACACATTATCCAGTTTTTCATCTCATATACTTGGCTAGACAAAGTAGAAATTTATTTTGAGCAGATATTGCCTACTATTACTTCCAAAAATACAAGGCAAAACAGAGTAATCAGAGTTGTAAGATGTTTACTTACCTTCTAAATCTAGAGTTGATCCGCATGACAATGCTCTTGTTCAGGAATTACAGGCAGTATCTTTGTGGTTTGTGCAGTAAGGGGAATCTGTTGTTTGCTAGTTTTCACTATTGAAAGTTAAAATAATTTTTATCCATATTATAAAACAGCAAGTACATCTGAAGAGTGTTGAACTTGAATATGCAAGTTTGAAAATAATTGAGACATATCTGAACATAAGACAGAGATGTACAAAGAGATTTTCAGTGAGATTTCAGTGCCCAGAGACACAGATACATGTCAGAAACTCCTGAAAGTACTAACCATGTTTTGTATTTAACTTCTTCTTAATACCAGTAGGACTACAGCATGCTGATCCTAAGTCTTCCTGGGAAGCAGCTTGAAGGTAGGCAAATAAATTGCTCCTGAAATTTACTGAATAGTGAAAATCCAAAAGCATGCAGATTTGGAGTTCACAGAATCACAAAATGTGCTGAGTTGGAAGGGACCCACAAGGATCATCAAGTCCAACTCTTAGCCCTGCACAGGACCATCCCCAAGAGTCACACCATGTGCCTGAGAGTATCATCCAAATGCTTCAGGAACTCTGTCAGGCTTGGTGCTGTGACCACTTCCCTGGAGAGCCTGTTCCAGTGCCTGTTCCATCCTCTGGGGGAAGAACCTTTTTCTAATATCCAACCTAAACCTTGCCTGACACAACTTCAGGCCATTCCCTCAGGTTCTGATATGAGTCCCCCAAAATACAAAACCCTACATTTGGCCAGTTAAGCAGAAACAACTGAAATTTAGAGTGTGAACTTCCTGATTAATTTTCACTCAAGGGCAGCACAGATTGCCACTCAGGCAGACATGGTGTGGCCTCAGCTCACTTGTCATACACACAGGGGGAGATACTGTGTATCACCATGTTGTTAACAAAGATGACAACATGAACCTCAGAAACCGGAAAGATGTGGTGATGCCTTTAGCACGCTGATAACACCGATCCTGATATCTTGCTGTGATACAGATAAGGAAATGCAGAAATAGCATTGTCAGGCAAATAATGCAGCATTGTTGATCCAGTGCATTTGTCAAAGAACTACTGTAGAACAAAAACAATATTTTACCTCCAGGTCCATCCTGTCCCTGACCATCCATTACTTCTGTAAGCTTACAAATGGATTTCTACTGAGTTGATACCAGGAGGATAAACTGTGCTACTTATATTTAGCTACTTCCCTTCTCCACTGACTGTATCATTTGGGCTTCTCTCTTTACAAATGCAATCAAAAAGTAGAGTTTGGATCTTTGCAATTAAGCAACTGAATATGAAAAGCAAAGTCAAAATAAAACTGGGGTAGTTTTAAAAAAATAACAATGTGTCTTGTTTCACCTCCAGGATGAACCTGGAGAGAATGTGAAGATAGGCTAATATTCCCTTCAGTGCCTGTGTGTAACAGTGTTCTACATGCATGCAAATCAAGCAGAAAAAAGGCCTCTTGTGCATCAGTGCTCTATGGAAAGCATTCAGGGGCTTTAAAAAGCTCCTGAAAGTTACCTGCATCCTACAGATTTTATCCTCCTTTTTATCTGAATAATGAAAAAGCCCCAAAGTGATAATAAGGCTTTGCACTTTTCTCTGGAAATGTTGCATCTCAGAAACATCTAAGTCTCTGCTAAATATTGAATACTATGACAAGCTTTGCTTTTCCCAACATTATTCATTTCACTTGCAGAGGAAAAAACAACTTTTCAGTTATGTCAGGAACCGAGAGGAATCAGAATGAAGTCGCTGATACTTCCATTGGCCAAGATTAAACAAATTTCTCCTTTCTTGGCTTTGCATATATGTGCTGCTGTAAAAGATGTATCTTGCCTGTTCTCTTCATTAAAAAGAAAATGTGTTGCAGAATACAAGGAGGAGTGAATCTGAACTCACTGAGATTCCAGCCCTGACACTACTGAGTCAGCATTTGCTTCTAGTTCGAACCTGTCAACTAACCTGAAGCTGTAGCAACACATCAGAGAGACAGCAGAATTTCCCCTATTTCCTCTAATCATGTAGGAGAGGAACTATTATTGTAATAGTGTAGCACAGAAAACAATACAGGAATTCAAATGACCAAGAGGAAATTTGTCTTGTTGTTTCTTATGTGCAAATTACAGCTGTCAAGCCCACTTATATCAAATGCTATGAATGTCAAAAAGTCTGAACAGTCAGGAAACAATTGCAGGCCAGAAACCCTGAGGTTTTATTCTCTGAGTCCCAGTTGTCATCGTGATACTGCGATGTCCTTCTTTCAGGATGATTTATAAAATTATCATCTATGAAAATTAACTTTGTATTACTGTGAGCCAGTAGTGTGAGACAAGGAATCCTGTATTTGTATCCTAAAATGTAATAAACAAAATTGTGGCTCCATGAGCCAATGGAGTATCACTGTAAATGAGAATATATCTGTTTGAGAAATGTAGAACAAGGCATTATGCTTGAACTAAGGTTGCCCACAGAGACTGTACAGTAATAACAAGATATTAACCATATGATTCCCTCTCTGCATGGTCCAATTCTAGTATAGAATTCCAACACACCTTATGTCACTTTCAAAATAGGAGAAAAATAAACAAGGAATGCCATTCTTACTCTAGGAAAAGAAAGTCTAAATGCAAATTTATAGCGGTAGAATTCTAGTAATATAAACTCCCACTTAAGTATAACTCATTAGTGATATTAATGAAACTTCCAGACCCTGCTGGGCAGATTCAGCTTAGGTATTGAATGCCCTGATTTATACAATCTGATTCCTATGCAACTTGTTGTTTGGGTTTTTTTTATATAAAGTAGCAAACAGTTCACACACACTGGCCTGCTCCCAACAAGCAATTCTGTACCATGCCCCCAGACTGATTTTTTTTTAAGATACAGCTATATGAGAACAGCTGTACATAATCAGTTAGTAGTACTAAACATAGTAATGGTACTAAAGTGGCATAGGGAAAATGAGCTAAGGAAAAGGAATAACAGCAGGGTAAGTATAACTGCCTTCCCTTTATGTGCAACTGAGGCTGATTTAAGCAGTAAGCTGCAATGATAATTCAGCAGTTTCTATCTAAATTCTTTTAAAACACTCTGGGGGTTACTTTCTAGTCCTTCTGATTGCTATTATTAATTTATTACACTGTTCTAAAATCTCTTCTACTGCCTCTTCAGTTTAAGAAAGTTTCTTAAAGAAATTCTTGCAATAAAAGTCTCTTATGTGGGAATCTCACTAAGATTCTCTGTAGCGAACACAAAGCAAGGAAGTGACATTCCTTCTGTGAGTTATTTTCCGTGTGTTTCCACATGTTACTATCAAGTCCCATTGATACAAAATTATTCTATGTCTGGAAATACAGATTAGCCACTTAAAAAATACTTACTTCTTGCACTAAATAAAAAAGCCCCCTCTAGTCTTTCCCTTCTCTTGTGGCTGCATTTAAGGGCAACTCTGTTCTGTCAGTTCATACCATTCAAGGGACTATTACACATAAATACAATGGCAGGACCAGATCCAGAGTCTAGAAAACCTGCTTTATACAGCCCACACTGTAATGTGTTCTTTTTTGCCTTAACAGCACAATGTTTAGACAACATTTATGACCAGAATGCTTTAAAGCACCCTGTCCTCCCTATATGTGCTTACACCCTTGTAGCACCACTAATTTGGAAGTTTTGTAACTTTAATCCTACCCTAGAGAGCATTTTTCCCCTTTCCTCTGGCTGCTGGACTTGATGACAATAATTCCTGAACATAAAGCCACTAACAGTTTCACATAACAGGCATCCGTGCTGTAAATTATCTTTATGTAGAACCGAAGTGACATCAAGACACTAATTTTCTGAGCTACCTAGGAATTGACTCTGATTCTCAAAATATAGGTTTCGTTCTTTTTCATCCCTTACAGTTTTCTGAACTTTGAATAACCTTTCAGTAGTACCTATACATCTTTTCATCTGTATGATATACAGTCACATCCTCTCAAGTACTCATTACTGTGTTTCCAGGGTGGCTGGAAACTGTCTTCAGTGGATCTCAATGTATTGTTTCAAGATTGCAAGCTATGCACTAATGATAGTGAAAATATCATCAAGGGCTGTGAACAAAGGCATCTATAGCTATTTATAATCCATTATCACCGTAGCAAATCTTAAACTTAGCAATTGTGGAAAGAATAAACTCTTCATATGGATTTGACTCCACTTTAAATTACATTGGTATAAACTGTGAAATTGATTGGATTGACTGAAATTATGGTGTGTGAAATCAAGGAATTTTGTATTAAAATAATCTTATTACAGCAATTCATGCAATTAAACATCTTTCTGTGTTACACAGATAGATTGAAGTGGAAGTCACATAGAAGTGAGAATGACAGACCAATAAGGAATTCCTATTATCTTCAGTAAAATCTAGTAAAACTAGATCTGAATTTCCATAAAACTCCACATCAGAAATGCCTTTGGATATACAACACTAAAAATGCCATTGTGAACATGCTGATAAAACAGGTATGGTATTAGTTAAGCTAGTCAAGACAATAGATGTCAGAAAAGTAATTCCTTTCCTGCTGGATGAAAATAATGAGCTCATAAATATATCTCAGAGGTAGCCAGTGCTGCAAGAGCAAGGAGCATAAATTGTACTCACAGGAGAGTTCAGACAGACAAGGAGCTATTCACCCTTTTCTAGGTAAAATTGAAATGCCATGAAATACAGAGTTGTAGAGAGAAATTATTGCATCTCCTCTTACTCCTGAAGAACTAACAAGACAAATAGTGAAGTACTCAAGCCTAGCCAAATTTAAAATCATTTTTTTTATTTGCTGGCTTTGTATTTTTCTTCTTTTGGAGGGAGGTTAGTTTGCCATTTATAGCTATTATTCTATATGTTCATGTTAATATTTTTAAAGATATATCTCCCTTCATGAAACCAGAAGCCATGAAATTTATTAAAGCGTCTTTTAGCCGTGTCAGTAACACAGCTGTAGCTGCTAATTGTAACTTACATGGAGATTTGTTACCAAACCATAACTTCTAGAATCAAAACTTTGAGTTTATCCACACCATTTAATTTATCTCTGCTAAAACATACTACAGTCTCGGAAGACCACAATTTTTTTCCTATCTGAAACACGAAAATTGTACTTTGTGGGAATTTTATCCTAGAAATAGGCTACAAAGTGCCAGCAGAGCCATTTTTTGAGTCCTGTTACATTCCATGCTTTGGTAGCAGATTTTATCAAGAATCATAAACACATGGAGCATACATACACACGTGTACATCTCTCTATACTTTTCATACACACACAAAGCACTCAGCTGCCAAACAAACCTGGCACATAACATGATCAAAAATTAAAAGGAGTTAAAAACCTCAAAGTCATTAATGCAACACTCTGGGAAGACTGGGAGAAGCATTCCCATATGATATATGTAAGTCTTCTTACAGATTTATTGTCAGAATTATTTCTTTATCATACAACAATATTTCCATAACATAAGCCAGACAAAATCTGTGTAGGACCAAGGTAACTCTGAAACAAACCTGAAGCATTTCTTGACAGGAAAGACTTAAAAAATCTTTCTTGACCTTCTCAGGCCTCAAGATTTTTTAAGTGGTTTCTTTTATTTTTATGTTACTTACCAGGATAAGGATGAATTTTAGTAGCAGATATGGTTCTTCTTGAATGTCTGGTACTCTTTCTTCTTAGAATAGTAGAAACTGATATTGCTACTCTGTGTTTATAATCTGTTTTAAACAAAATGTGTTAGTCGCAGCACAGATTAGAAGGAAAGCTGGTAAACCTCTTATCCTTAAACTGTTGAACACCTTGGAAGGTATTAAAAAAATCAGGAAGATGTTGAAATAAGAGGATAAGGAAAACTAAGGGCCAGATGATTTATATTTTCCCTTTCAAATTATTCCTTGCGTTTTTCTATACTGTGTACCTTGAACAAATTTTGGAAGGATATCAAAAAAGCACACGTTCCAGTGCAGGTTTGGACTCACAGTGCTGACAGTGGGATAGCAAGGATGGAGTGCACTGGCATCCTAGAGAGCTGACAAACTATTTGCAAGTGTGGGGTGTTCATCTTGGGAAGCCCAGTTTGAGAGCAAGCTCCACACCACTCACAAAGATAGAGCTGGGTTGAACACCTCTGACTGTTCCTCAGCACCCAGTTCATAAACTCCTCAGTCTTTCCATCATTCTGCTGCTCTCTGAACGCTTGGTCTTGGTGCGCTTATTTCAGATAATTGTGCAGCTCTTATGGTCACCCCTGTTCTACAGTGACTGCAGTCCAGAAGCTCAGCCAGCTTCTGGTGACAGGCTCGCTTTAGTTCTACATAACAGAATTTATTTTTATCTTTTTCCTTTGAGAACACTAAGAAGTTCATTAAATTAGAATTATTTAGGTCATGATTTTCTTATGAATAGCCAGTGGAGATCTAAAATGCTGAAGCCCTAAGCATACACTGTAACAGTTAATGTCAAAGGAAGCTCTGGAAGCGTTTGTGAGACAAGGGAGGAAGGGAAAAGGCAAAACAACTAATTTCTAATCTAGGGCCTTTCTCATGGATCATTTGTAACCTCCAGTAAGTTTATTTGGATATTTTATTTTATTCACTCATGAAAATAACTTAATGTTTCAGAGAGTCTAAGTGTCTGCCTATCAGAATGTCTTGCAAGGTCTCAAGAGGAAATGAATAATGCCATATATCTTAACAGCTTTTGGTGGTGCTTAGAAATTAAGAGAAAAACTACTAACTGAATTACAACTAATAATTATGACAACGAATTATGGAAAAATTCATAGCAGCTGTTTCAGGAACACAGTAATGTTCTTCTGTATTCTTTGAGCACTACCGAAAAAAAGCAGTACGTAGACTTGCAATTAAAGGTTCAGTTAAAATTATATATTGTGATATATACACATCAGGAATATAGCCTTTAAATCTGACTTTATGTGCTTTTCTTTTCATCAGTAACATGTCGATGTTGTTTATTACGTTATATATTATAAATTTAATTCATAAAACACTTTTCAACAATTAACAGAAATATTCTAGAAGCAAATCAGTAATTAGAAGCCTCAAAAGGCATCTTTTCCTCCCTGCTTGTGTCCATGATGATGCTAAAAAACATGCATTTAATAGACAACTGATGTTTAAGAATAAAGGTATTAAAGAATTAATCATCAGTACTTACAGTTGTTCATCAAAAATAAGATGTTATGACTCAAAGCATAGAAAATCCTAGAAGTGACATTTATAAGTAGCTTTCAGATTACAAATATAAGTCTTTTAAATTAGAGCACTTAATAGCCCGCTTATAAAGACCTAATTTACACTTTGTGGGGGTTTTTTATACATAAAATAGGTCTCAGAATTTGGTTCTAACAATAAGTAAAAGATCATGTATTTTAACCAAGATAATCTGGTAAGGAGTTTCTTGAATTGGGGTAGGGGGACACAAATTTGACATTTCAATCAACTATTTTGCTTATTCATTAAAAATATATGCATAAAGTATTTACATTATGAAAAAAAGTCACAGAAACATTTGGGGGGGGGGAACTCTACTTCATTCTGTTCAGTTATGATTAAAGCTATACTCCTATTGCTCTTTTGTTACAAAACTGCCTGTGGATACGTCAGGATGGTGAGGGAAATGGATATGGCTTATCATTTTTTATTATTCCTGTGACCAGAGTCTCCACTCAGCACTTCTGAACTACAAGGGGAATGGACATGAGCCTGATAATAGCAACTAAATGCTGGTTGTCTGGAAGTGTTCTGCCCACTCAGGGCTGATGCAGGCAGAAAGTCTCAGGAAATTGCTGTGAAAGCACCCAAGCACTATTCTCTCAAGTAACAGGTTAAGTAATATTCTTTTCATACAGACGAAAGGGAGTGTGCTCCTTGTACCACCTCCCTCTGACTTGGGAAGAAAAACAAGGACCAGCAGCCGACAAGTGGTCCATTTTCCGCATTGCTTTTTTTGCAGAGGACTTGATTGCTCAAAAGTCTCAAGCTCAGGGTACTCCTACACTTTTGTTCTTGATTTCCTCAATTGCTAGAAAAAACACCATAAATCTGATTTCAGCCTGTATCACAAGTGAATTACATAGGAAGAACCTGTCTTGACTGGTGAAGGCATAATGCAGAAACAATCATTTCAGTCTCTGAACTTGGGGCAAGTTCTTTCAGAGCAAAGTTCTAATCACTTGGAATAGTCAATAGTACTGGTTCACAAATCACAGCAATGTTTTCTTTGCTGAAATAATAGCAAAGAGAAAAAATCTTATCCGGGATTAATTCAGCTCTGGGGTTAAGAAGAAACAGCTTGGTTGACCTGTAGTGGATTATACCACCAATGAATTTAGACAGCCAGTTTTTAGGACAGACAGCTGAGTGCATATCTCCTCCTATCAGTCCTGTAATTTTTCTTGAACATGACCTAGATGAATCATCTTCAGTAAGAAAAAAAGGGTATTTCAATCTGCTTATATTGGTCATTGACATTTCTGCTTAAAACCTTCCACAAAGTTCAGCTGTAATTGTTTCATCTACTGAAATCAGTGTGAAACCAGAAGTACATATCACTATGCAGCATAGGCCACCAAGCATCTGTCAAAAACCCCACAGTTCATTCACCATCAACAAGGTTGAATTTGCATCCACAATTCAGAGGTGAGAGGTGATACTGTCAGTCATCCAAGTACTTCAGTCCCTCTCTAAGAAGCTTCTACCATCTGACAATTAAAATATCAGTGTCTGAACTACAGTACTAAACAACAGTTTTGTAATTGCAGATTAACTTTTTTTTACTTACAGATGTTTTTATTTTCTTGGATTATTTTGTAGATGACAGTTGAAATAGTAAGCACAAAAACTACTGGAATCATAGTGAGCCAAATGATCTTCGTCATACACATTGGATCTGTCCACAAAACATAGAAGAGATAAAATTAAGCAGCAGAGAAAAGCAGAACATTCTATTTTGGTAGGGTTTTGGATCATGTCTATCCCCATAGATAAAAACAAAACAAAACAAAACAAAAGAGATTATGCCTTTTTCTTTCAGCCTTCTTTGGTTTTTGAAATTAAATTTCCTATCTAGAATTTAGCTTAATTTTCACCTATATTTATCTCCCCACAGCTGAAATAGTTACAGGTAGCTAAGTGAATGAAAACTTTTCAACTCAGCCAGGAAGAAAATGCTTCAAAGATCAACATTTTTATTTAAGGTAGAACAAGGGTAGAACATGTCTCCTCTATCTGGATGGAGCACAGAAGGAATTGGTTCACTGTCCAGTACTGGCATTTTCAACTTCCTGGTCTATCTTCATATATAGGAGAAGATTAGATTCTACCTTATATAGAACATATTCTATAGGAATTTTCCTATAAAAAAGTGAGGAAATGCCACCTACAGGAGCTCTCTGGGGAGTTCTTTTAACTAAAACTGCCTTGGGGGACAATCCCATGGGACTGGGTGCAGGAGGTAGGCTGCTCTTTTGGACAACAGCTGCTGTAGAAATGCACCCACATTCTGCAGGGAATTAGTTCAGTAACAAGTACAAGCCAGAACTATATAGGACAAAGAAAGGATGTGGGGAACTTTCCTCTCTGATTGTTTGAAAGACCTTTCAAACTATTTTGGCAGCTGCATTTCAATGCATACCTTAGCACTGTCAAATAACTATTTTAAAAAACAAATATGTTACTCAGACTCATAAAAAAATTAATTACAGACTGTAGCCAAACCACTGTTTCCCTTTCCTTGACTTAGAATAGTATAATTAGACCTCCATCTTCCCTGAAGTATCTTCTCCCTTGAGAGCTCATGTGATAAGTGCCAATAACCCCATGGCTCTCTGAGGCACAGATCATCCCTCCTAATTCAGAACTAAAAATATCTTTTATACAGTAATTTAGGCTCCTTTCAAACAGAGCATCCTACCCCATCTTGTAGTGACTTGTAATGACTTGTGTATCAGTCCTCCTCAGTAAAAGCCCTGAGCTTTGTTTTGAGGTAAAGAGAAAAAAAAAAAAAAAGGTGTGTTGTTAATATCTATTGCTAATTTGAGATAACTACTACCTCAGTAAATCAGCATTAGCAAAGGGTGGTTAGCTCAAAGTACTAACACAAGTTAGCAGGGCAAGTTACAAATTATGCTCCTTTCCTAGCTAGACCTAATTATTTTTTTAAAAAATCAGCCCTAAGCTGCCCTTTCTTCTCTAGGATTTTACCTGGACTTACTTAACATAGGTTAAGCCAATGCCAAAACACGTATTTTTTTCCAACAAAGGTGCAGCATAAAATGCATTTGCCGTACAAAAGCAAATTAATGTCATAATTCAGCAATTTCCAAATGACAAGTGTTGCATATAGACAGAATGGAAGTTGTGACCATAGTCAGGCAATCCGTTAAAAAACTCCTGCAGCACAAAGAGAAATATAAACACTGCAGGCTGTCCTCAGGGAAAACTAAGCCTAGTTCAGCTGAACATTTATCTTTTAAGCACACTGTAGTGAGGCTGTACAGTAGGATATTGCAGTACTACACTAAGAAAAGTCAAACCTGTCTCCTGATCCTTCTACCACTGAAGTTAACAGGGATTTTTAAATTTACCTCCAACACAACAGGGTTATGCCATTACCAAGGAATGGAAAAATCTAATTCCAGGTTTTTTCACACGTGTAATTTCTGAGTCTGTTGCTGCTAAGCAAAAGACAATGTACAGACATTTACATTGCTGTATTGCTTTTAGAAAAAAAAGAAGGCCACAACTAAATCTGCTTTAGATCACTATCAAAACTGTTAGTTGTCTACTAACGATGGTCTTTTACTAAGGGATAATCAAAATAGTATTCTCTTCTTCTGAAATATTTAAATACTTTCAAATGATTGCTGAAAGCAGAGAACTACCTACTAGATATTTTTTGCAAGATTTGTTTCTCTTTTTCAAGATTGTTTCTGGTTTGATTTCCATTGTGATTCTCTGTTGTAACTTACATTCCACATAAGACTTCAGTTGCAGTGAAATATTCATACAGTCATTTTGGTCTTCCATCATTGCCATTAGACAAGAATGATTTAGGTGTTCTTTGGCTGCATTTCCTCCTCCGACTATAGAATTGTTGATGTGTATTATCATCAGGTAATAAGTATTATGCTCTACTTCTTTATTGGAAACTGTAGAGAAATTAAAATATTTATAAAAGTAAGCAACATCTTCTGTTTTCACTTCAAGGTTTTGCTTTTGGAATTAAAAATTAAAACAAAACTGTTTTACAACAAGTGGTAGACCAAGAGACAACTCTCAAGAACAGTAAGTTTTCTGTCTAATTTGCAAAAACATATAGTTGGTTTTTACATTATTGGCTACAAAAAGGACAAATGGATACTGAGCAGATCTGAAGAGCATTGATTACCTACACAAATAGCATTTCCCCTGCAATTTATAGCCCCTTTCTTGCTTTACTATCAGCTTCAGAGGTTTTCAGGTTTTTGTTGGTTCTGTCAGTTGTCAAAGGTAACAGGCAAAAATCAGGCTATGAAAAAAATAAAACCCCAGTAAAAGCCACACAATGAAGTGTACACAGTCTGTCTCCTATCAGTTGCAGAAGGTCCTTGTTTCACTTCAAACTACACAAGCTGTGAGACTTGCGCTATGTTAACAAGAAACAGGTGAGAGATATTGTAAAAAGTGTTGAGTTGTACAGGTATAACTGCCAACAGTTTGTCTACATATAACTTTTTGTATTCCATACTTGTTAAGACTGCTATTTTGTAATAAGAACATTTTGCTGTTGGAAAATAACTACATTTCTTATATTCAGGACTTGGTCAATTGCCCCTGTTGCTGACAATTTTAGAAAAGCAAAATACAGAAGTATCCTCTCCCCTTAAAGTTTCCAGATATTTGCAAGTGTATATGGCACAGAAGGAATGTGCTGCTACTACTCTGAAAAGATGTGGATGTTGCTGAACTCTTCTCTGTACTGCTGTGCCATTCCTTATTCAGTGCTGCTTTTTATAAAACAAGCATGGCCATTTCTGATACTGCACAGTTGTGGATATCATAGACTACAAACCCAAAAATGGTTATTTCTTATATTGCTGCCATCTGAATAGTTACCAACTGAATTAGTTCTTCAGATACTTTCTCACGCCTATCTTCACGATACCAGCAATCTACAGATAGAGTTCCACAATGACATTTAAAAGTAAATTCAGCATGAAAAATTATCATAAAGTACAATTCCTTAAAAATAAATTAAATATATCAGAAAATTTAGCAAGATTAAAAGAACAAAATTGGGGTTATAAGAGTGTTCATAAAAGCCAGAGGGCAGAGGTCGAATTTACAACAGAAATATTCCAGGTGGCTGCTGGCTAAGGCACTCTTCTCACAGCACCTGCCTTCCAGACTAATAGAAAGCCCCCTAAAGAGAATGAAATAACACCCCCCCTCACCCTGTTTTATCCAAGATCTTCAAAGGAAAGAAATCAACATTTTGCTACAGACATCCTTCACTGACAGCCAGGAACAAATGCTACTGCGAATCTGGCATAAAACCTGCATTTTCTAGTCATGCAAAAACAAGCTAAAAAAAGACATTGTTCATAGATTTGCAAAGACCATAGAGAACCACTTTCTTTTAACTACCAAGTAAAAACATGTCTTTTATTTTGTAATTAACTGCTTCAAAATTAAGTATTTCTCTTCAATCACTTACTTTTTTTAGCTACTGACCCTGATCCTTGATGATCAGCGTTCACATCCCTCTTGGATTCACACTCTGTGTGTTTAGTATGGGACTGTTGTTCCCTCCCGGAGGACTGGCAAATACATGGAATATTTTGGAAATCAGAATTATTTATAATGGCCTTCAGCAAAATATTCTGGTTTTCTCTTCTTTGTTGCACTGCTCTTTTGCAAGAATTCTTAAAAGTGCAAAGGGGAAAAGTGGTGTTATTCGATGAACAGGTATCCATGCATGACACAATTACAGTGTTAGCTGTAAAAGAAAGAGTACTGTATCAGCAAGACAGTCATAGAGGACATATGGACAAATATGTACATTGAAATGCCATGTAATGAATCCTTCAACCATCTTACCTTGAAATGCACTTTTTTTCTTGAGGATTATGGCAGCACATTGAATGCATCATTTTTAAGAGAAAGCACGCACAATGTCTTCCTAGAACCTAAATGCTGGATTTTATTTGCTGAATTGCAAGAAATCTCTTGTAATAGTAACTTGAATTTGCAGTGGTGTCTAGACACATTTCAAAGCTGCTCCAATTTGATTGTACTTGAAAAGAAGATGAAAGCACATATGTTTGGAAGGGGAACATAGCCCTAGAACTGTGCAGTTGCAAATCTCCAGTACAATTATGTTCTAAAGTAGCTATGAAAACTTTCTTTCCAAATGACATTGAAACCACACAGTGAAAATACACAGAAATGCTGCTGAACCCTCCACCCACACCCTTCACATTCACTTATGTTCAGTCAACAAACAGAAATCTTAATTATGACTATTAGGTTTGGTATTCATAGTGAAATTTCAGCATGAAAGTACTGTAGCTAGAGTACATTAATGCAGTTCTGGCAAGCAGCAAAAACCACAGAGTTAATTATTAATGAGTGTCATTCTGTCTTCCACATAAAAGTAGAACTTTTTCATGCAAATTTTTACTTGTGTTAACTTTGAACTATTTTTTCAGTATAAAAAAAAATAAGAATAAAAAACTTCTGTGACCCCAACATGAAACATGTATTATAAATACAAATAACCACTTCCCAGAGTTGATGTAGCACTAACCTACAGTTTTGTAGCTGTGTTTCCAATTCTAGTAGTACCCTTGTGTCTGTATGAAGAGGAAATTTTGCATCGAACTCCCATTATGAGCAACTGGAGTAATATGTTCATAAGTCTTTATGTATAGAGAGCAAAAGATAGCTTTTAATTGCTCCAGTGCTCAGTTGCAATCTGACAGCTTCAACAGGCCACCCGTGCTTGCAGAGCAGCAGGCTGACCTCAGAAACAGTTCAGTCAGGATTTTCAGACAGGATACAGAAATAAAGTCGAAAGTCCAATGCCAAAGCCAATTATCTTCACTTTACTAACACTATTATGAGAAAGTCATAAACTCCTTATAAAACCATAATAAATTGAAATGTAAAACACACGTCCTATGCAGGAAAGAAAAAGTTAATTTTGATAAAAAAGGAAAAATGTCAGACAAAACTTAAGGTTTGATCTTTCCCTGAGGCAAGAAAAAACATATTCCTCGAAATGCTTACAATCTGATCCACACAACCTGGCATGGAGCAGCCTCCTGAGGTCAAATTCTTCCAGCTGAAGGGGATGTTTTGTGTAGAATTTCTCTATGGAGATGAGCCAGGAGGAGAAATTGAATGCTTACTCCGCTCTCACGGTAAGCCCTGTGTGCACCTGGGCAACCAGTCCAAAACCACTGCTACAGCTTCTAAGGACAACTAATCATAATTCCCTAATATACCCTTTTCACCAAGAAACCTGTATGTGGACTTGAGAATCTGCTGACAGGGCTGTAACAGCAATCTATGTTCAGCACTGTGAAATCCACCTTGAACTTCACACATGGCTAAACAGGCTCCAGGGCTGCCTGTGAGCCATGTTGTAGGTGTGGAAAAGGCATGTCACCTGAGTGGAAAAACTTTGAATGCTGTTGTGTTAGGAAAGGTGCTTACCATCTTCTTGAAAGATCTCTACTGAGAAAGCCAATCAAATTATGATCTAGCATAGGTAAAGTTGGTTTTTTTTCCAAGTCACAGGACTGTGGCCTTTCTAAGGAGGGATCTATATTGTTGAGCACTGTTAAGAAACACTACAACAAGACTAGACTTTCCCAGTGGATCATATGGCAGACAGAGAGCCATACCCATAGGAGGCTTGCTCCTTACCTCAGGACTGGGAAGTACTCTCCCAAGTGTAAACATAATTAGAAATATGGAAAGGGGTTTGTGAAATCTGAATGCAGGCAGCCTGAAGAGTTAAGAGGATTGCTGAGATAAAACCATGCAAAGTACCTTTAGGAAAGTGCTTTATATTGAAAGACCTGCAATCTGCATGCTTAATGTTAGGAAGTTCTGTGATTATCAAATTCTTTGACTAAGCCTCTATTTACAGGGTGTTTTTCCATAGAAAATCCAATTCCATTAAAATGAAATTATTCACAGGGAAGATTGGAATTTGTAAAAAACTTGCTTCCCCTTAAGAAAATCCCAAATATTTCACTTAAGGTTGGTTTGACTCTTTTTCATTTGATCTGATTTTGAATAAATGCAGCAGTATATACAGTTGCATTTTGATAATTTCCTCATGGAAACTATAGTCATTACATAATATTGTAGAGATACAAGGCCTACAGTACAAGCTGGGGAATACACAATGGATAGATGAAAGAAGATACACTCCATCAATTAGCTGGACCCAGGGGACAGGTCTGGGATTGAAAGCACCAGACTCCAAAACGACCACCTTCTGCCCTAAAGCAATGTAGTTCAAAGGTTCAATGACTTGCAACCAAACAAGTGGGTTGCTTTACAAATATAAAGGAAACATTTCACTTCTGGCAATGCTGAAATGTATTCTTTTGATAAATTTTTTAAAGTTTGTTTTTTGCAAATTGATTTCCCCCTAAATTTTTGTCTAATGAGAAATTTCCGTTTTTATTCCCTCTCCAGAATGAAAATAAAGGCTGGAACTTCCCCTGGGATAAAACATCCAGTACTTAGGAAGTCTCTGCCACTAATTTAGGAACCACTCACAGAGGAAGATCCAGTGACTGTATTTCATATCTCAAAGATTTGCAACAACTCTGTCTGCTGAAGCCTTATGGAGTAACCAGCAATTTGAAACATCTAACAAAAATTCTCTACATATTAGGTTTGTCACAAAATCTGAAATAAAACCAGTTTCCAATGAACCGGAGACCCAAAATCCTTAGAATTTGTTAATAAATCATTCAACATATTTACTTTCTCATGTAATTCAAACATCGTTACCCAGTCTGTTATATAGTCACAGAGTTTTTAAAATATCCAAAATACAGTAATAATTCTCATTTCCCAAATATAATTATATACTGCTCCAAATATAATTCTATTCTGCTCATATACTTCACAATCTTATTTTAGACATGCTGCGATTAAGATTTTATGTAGATATCAGAACAGCAGCGATCACACTATTGCAGCATAAAGCATCTCCAATAAGTGCAATCTAGGAAAATTACTATGGAAAAAGCTTTGATGTTTGACAGTAAGGTTAATGTTTTCTTCTAGTAATAGTCATGTCATTGTTTATTTGTGTAGTCTGTTTTAGCAAATACTTTGATTGCTTCTGAATGGAGGTAAAACATTAATTATTCCAATATCTTAAAGTGATTTATCAATGTTATGCTATTCAAAACTTCTGACAGCTTACCAAGTTTGTTCATTTATCAATTATAAAAGTCCATACATGATATTCTAATTACTGGCATGTTTATTCTTTGTGGTTACTGAAAATAGAACAAATATAAGTAACCTAATCTGGATATATTTTGATACTAAGTATTTTCAGAAAATTATGTTTCATAAATAAATTATTTCATGATGCCCGAGAAAACAAAACATTTGTCAAAGGGATGCTTTTTATTATAACATTTATCTATTCAAATGCTTACTTAGGAAGGGATCTGACAAAACTATTTTAATATTAATTTATTTATGGATTTTTAAGAAAGCACTCAATGCATAACTTACACACGTGTATTTTGCATTCATCCCATGTCCAGTATCAGCCCTTAGGGTGTATTTGACATTTGTGCTAAAAGATTTGCACTGCTGCTACACCTATTGCACTCTATTTTTTGTCAGGTTACCACTGCATATCTCTTTCACAGACAGCATCTCATTACCGGATAGTAATTGTACAAAGGTTTATAGGCATTTAAGTATAAAAACTTTTTTAAAGTTTTTTTTTAAGACATAGGTACCTGGTATAAAAGGACATAAGCAATTTAACTACCCTCTTCATGATGAAGGTAGCAAAAATACAGTTGCATAGAAATACTTAACAAAAATTTTGCAGAGTCTGTAAGTGAATGACAAACTCCTTTCAAATTGTCACATATAATTAACTGTGTTTATTAAAAATCTCATAAAAAGAGTCTATATCTTTTTCAAAGTCCATATGAGTGCAGCATCCTAACTATCAGTTTTAGGAAAGCACGTCTCAACATTTCAACTGAAATCAGACTTCAGAATAAATAAGTCTTCAGAATAAATAAAAGCTGATCACTCACCTTCATGTATTTTGAAAAATTCCGGTAAACACAATATAAACACGGTAATTATTCCTAATACTAATTTGAAGATTGCTGGTTTTCTCAAAAGCAAGCACATGTCACTGAAGCGCTACCATCTAGCACAGTGGTGGCAACTTCCTTCCTGTTTTAGCTTTTAACTTAGTGCAGACTTTATGCAAAATAACATCTATTTGTTTCCTTTTCTTATTATGACTTTCCTTTTTACTTCTTGTTGCATTAAGCTGCAGAAAGCCACATTTTGCTCTTACGTTGGCATAGATGGGGATGATTCAACTGAATATACTGAAGATAAAATGCACGGACTACAATGAAAATAAGAGAAAAATCATGCATGGAAATGATTCTATACATTTGGGGTAGTTTTGTTTTAAGAACCCCCTAATAGCCACTTTCATATACCTTCTAAACAGTAAATTAATTATCTTTGGGGAGGAATTTTGTTCTCATTTGACCAAGAAGATTTTAAAAAAATGAATCAGACCCTCATTATAAAAATGAGTCAGAACCACATGAGTCAGATATGGATATTTCATTGTTTTATTTATATACATATGCATTGGGGCTAGGGGGAAGATAATGTTATGTAATACAAGATCTTTGAGACTTTAATAGACTATCCATTTGGTCATTACAATCTAAAATTTCTGATCTGGCAATAAGTGATGGGCTAGGTACAATGAAATGAGTTGTTCATATTATCATTGCTGCTGTACTCTTAAAAGATAACAGATGTGTTGCCAATCTGTCAAGTGTCTTCAGTGTGTATTTTACTATTCATTACACCACAAGAAGACTGGATAGAGCCATTGCTATTTCTATACATTGTAATCACAATTTTTCAACTCAACTTTCGAGTTAAAAAAGTGAAGTATTTCATTTTGACAATCACCATGATATTCCATAAATTCTTCTTGCAGATGAGACTGCAAAGAACATTTCTGAAATGTTCTGAATAAAAGTACTCTGAATAATGCATATGTAAAAAAACCCTCAAATTTTGACTCAAATATTGAGTATATAAAATATAAAGGATTTTATTAATTCAGAAAGTTGTCTTCTGATGTGTATTTTTCCTACAACCCATTAAATATTGAGTACTACCCAAACAAAGCAATGCTGTTGAAATTAAAATAAGAGGTGCTCTAAAAAATTGAAACACTCTTCTTGTCATCTAGTTATCTCAGAAGATGAGTAAGGCAGGCAGAAGTATTCATTCTATGGAAAGAGACTTAATGAAGCTGCGGGGAATAGAAGTTTGTTAATATGATATTTTAAATACATCGCTTTTATGCAATGAAAGCAATGAAACCAAAGCAAAATGAACTGATTTTTTGACAGTATGGTGGAACAGAAGTAACAGGATACAAAAAATCATAGATACGAATTTAAAAAGTAAAACACTACACAATTTATGTCATCCATTAGCAAATTAGCTCTACTTTGTTTTTGCCCCTTAAGTATCTTCTGTATCAATTTATATTTTCCTGTTTTCAAGGTTGCGTGGTGTTCACCCATCCTATCTGCCCAGAAGGAGTGTAGAAAATACTGGAAAACAGCAGGAAGACTATGTCAAGTATCTGTCCCTTTCTGATGTAGTCAGACTGTCATCGCTGTTGGTAGTGCCCAAGGTCAAAATAGAAATTGCCCTATAGGATCCGACCCAAGTTCAGGCTGATAAAGTATTAACCTGTGGAATATGTTGAGGTTTAGATTCTATAGAAGAAGGCTTCCAAGAACTCTGCAGTACAGATGGGGAATATCTACTTTAGGGCTACTGTGATGGCACATTTTAGTTTCATTTCTGAGTTCAGAGGGCCCAGATGTGACCTGTCTGCATGTTCCCCAGGGACACCTTAAGTTTTAGACACTGCTATCCTCAGGCAGTTCAGCATGTGTGGCCTGGCCACAAACAGACCTGGAAAACAGATTCCTTGGGGTACGCTACTCTCCACCTAGCTAATAATTTTTACACAGCTGGAACAACTGGTACCTTTGAAAACCCTATCCTTTAGTCAAGTTTAGTTCAAATTAATCATTTAAAGCCAGTCAGACTGAGAACTGGCAGACAGGCAAAGCACACAGCCACACAGGCCATATTTCCATGCAGAATTAAACAAAGCAAGAACTAACTATCTCATTACTGCATCAAACCTGCACCACCATGCCTCAGCAGTGGCCTCGTGCACCCTTACATGCTGTCACACAGCCTATTAATTTGGAAAATCATTCCATCTCTGGTAGGCAGCAGTCCCTGGTAAGGCATTGTTCGACGAGGGCAGAAGAGGCTGTGTGTGTTCGCCCGTGAGGCGGTGAGGAGCAGCTGTCTCCGCACCACACAGGCACAGATTCCTGAGGGGAGGCGACAGGCTGCGGTCTGTGTCACCGCAGCTTTATTTCTCTGAAATGGGGGAGTGGGCAGCTAAGGAAAAGTTCGGCTTTGTGCTTTTGGAAGACAGGGACGCAGGGACAGAACGAAGCTTTTATGGGGTTATTCAAGAGAAACCCCACAAAAGGAGAAACCGCCTCCCCTGCCGCTCCCCCCGCCCCGCCGGCAGGGGGCGCGCGGCGCCACAGCCCGAGGGGAGAGGCCCCGGCCCCGCCCCGCCACACGCGGCGCGCGCCGCTCCCGCCCCGCGGCAGGGGGCGGGGTCGGGGGGCGGGGCCCAAACCGGCCCCGCCCCGCGTCTGTCCCCGCCCCTGCCCGGCCGGAGGCGCCGAGCGCAGGGCGGGGCCGCGGGGACCCGACGGCGTCGGGCGGGAGCGCCCCTGCCCGCGGGGAGCGGCGCGGCGGCAGCGCTGGCGGCCGCGGCCGGGCAGGAGGCAGGGAGGGGACGGGAGGGGGTGCGGGGGCCTCCCGTGCGGGTTTTTTCCTTTCCCCGCCCCCTCCCAACCGCGCCCCCTTCTCGGACCGTGAGAGGTGAGAAGGGCGGTCGGGGCTCGGCAGCGAGGGGAGGGGGCTCGGGGCTGCCGCGAGGGGGAGGAGAAAGTGAGGAGGAGGAGGAGAAGAAGAAGAAGAAGAAGAAGAAGAAGAAGAAGGGCGGTGGCGCGCGCGCGGGCCAGCGAGGGGTGGGCCCACCGGGCTCCCTCCTGCCGGGTGTCTGCGGAGCGCGGCTGCGGCGCCGCCCGGGGGGACGGGGAGCGGTGCCCGCCCTGAGCCCGCCGGGCGGGACCCGCCGTGCTCGGCGGGGAAGTGGCATCGCCCGAACGGGGCGGCGGCTGCTGGTGCGGGACGGAGCAGGGGCGGTGCGGGGCACGGCGAGGGGGGCGCGGGGTCTGGCCCCGTGGCCGAGTCACTTCAAAACGTTCAGAGACGGGACCCGCTAAAAGTGCACTGAACACAGCGGGCTCTCGGGGACTTGCCGCTCTATCTCTCAGCCTTCACCATCACAGTATGAAATAGTGGGAAACTATTTTTTTTTTTTTTTGAGAGTGGTCGAACAGATTCGAACAGCGACTGACTGCCAGCTCACCGGCATGGGGAGCGGCGTTATTACGCCGAAAACAAAAAGAAGTATAAGTGTTGAACATCAAACGGCTGTTTATAGATATTACTGGTTCGAGCTTTTCCTTAAAGCCTCTTTGTGGCTCCGGGCTCTGAGGTCGGACTGGCTGCGCTGTGTGAGCGGTGGTGCAGCCCAGCTGAAGCCCCGCCATCCGTGACTCGCAGTCGGGCTGCTTGGCCAGTAATGTCATAACAGTCGAAAGGGAAGAGTTGAGTTTGTTCCTTCCTTTTACCTAAAAGTCAATGATGAAATTATATGAGCTAAACTCCAAATACAGTCTTATTTTCAAGAAAAAAAAATATCATTCAGGTCTTCCACGAGCATGAACAGGAATAAGAATTTGAACTTACGTTGGTGTAGCTTTTTTATCTAGACAAAAATCTATGTATTTTAGGGGTGGATCCTTTTTAAAAACAGATCACAGGATGTATTTTCATGGGCAGTTCATTAATTTTACCAGAAACAATCTCTGATCATTTCTCATTAAGGTATTTTTGCCTGAGAATTTCAAGAGGCATTTTAAAAAAAAAAGTACCATATTCTTGAACTTCATGGGTGCATTCCTGATAGGGCAGATTGTGTTCCCATCTTATGTTTTTCCTGTTTTCCACTTGCTGAACAATGCTGAGGAGCATAAAGCAGGATAGAACCAAAATAATAATAATAAATAATAATCTGAGTCAAATAGTGTTTTCCTCTGCCATGTGTCAGCTTCACTGAACCATCCCTCATTTATGTCCTCTGAATGGCCAGGTCCACTACCAAAGGCAGCATGTTTATACTTTAGCTGTAGATTTTAACACATTGCATTTCACAAAAATGCATTGACTGCTAATTTAAAATAGAAAAGAATTTGAGTGAAGATGAAGAAATTCTCCCATTAGACCATTATAGTCAAAGAGTAATTGCAAGCTGTTACTAACAATGACAGTTCATGTTGGGGAACTTGTTCCAGCTCTGGACTTTTGTATCACCTGTGCTTTTAAAAAGATTCTTTGCTTATGTTGTTGTCTTGTGGTTTTATTGATATAATTCAGCCTTTCGTGACATGATAAAGATTACCTAATCAGATATAACATGGCCCAATAGTGAAAATTTCTACAGCTCTTAGGAAATTATAGTGTGATTTTACATTTCCCTTACAAAATCGTTACAGTTTGCCTCTTCCCACAGCAATTAAATTGCCTTTTCTTATAGCAGTCTTACCAACTAGAAAAATGCAGTGGTTACAAACCTAACTATCCACTGTTTGTTTTTTTTCCTAGGAAGAAAATCTTTAATTCAAAGTTACCAGCAAAGCAATGCTGACCATAAATACATGTGTTATTTGGCTGTCTGGCCTTAAAACCCAGTCATGTAGGCAAGATGAGGTTATTCACTCCAGAGGCAAGAATGAGGTGGTATTACCATTCAGAGACCTAGGACAGTCTTGCATCTAGTAAGAAAGATCAGATCATGAGAGGTCAAATATTAGGTATCACATTATGCATGCAGGTATCATGTAAGGCTACTTTCTTTCACTTCAAAGTGTACATAGTCACTTGGTACCCTTGCACACGGTACCAAGCCAAAAGGAGACACATATTATTTCAACAGGCTAGATTTTTTTAAGATTTGTAGTGGCCTGTAAATAGGAAAGGGTTGAGAACCACTGTGACAGTAAGTGTGAATTTTTATAGAGCTGCTCCATGTAAGGAAACATGTTAAGTGGTGGTAGTTGGCTTTATTCACCAATACCATCAGTGTTAGTCTTTGAAAACAGTGTTCAGTGCTTCATATGGCAGATCAATACTTCACTGCTTTTCCCTTCATGGAATTACAGCTAATCGAAGATAAGAGTGAAAATGGACTAAGGTTAATTTTTTTTTTTAAAGAGACACAGCCTTGTAATCCAGTGTTGCTTGAGAGTTCATGTCTCATATTAATTAAAATTAAAAATTTCATATTAATTTCCCTTCTTCCTTTGGGGTCTTTGTTGATGGCTATGTAACTTGAAGTTGTGGAAGGAACTAAGGTGACAGTTGTGCAGTGACACGCTTTTATCGTCTTCCTCAGAAAGTTTAGGAATCACAGCAGAAATGGAAGGAAGTTCTATCTGAATAGAGTAGGGAATCTGCTTTTGAGATTTTTTAATTTTTTTTTTCCCAATGGCTCGTTCTTATTTCTTTGTACTGTTATTTTTCTGCCTCCAGATTTTTTTCTGCTACCTCAGTTTTTTTGGAAAGAGGAGGATAAATGGAACAACAGGATTCTTTGAACAACTAGAGATGATTCCGGTGTTATAGGTAATTATTGTATTTACTCAATTCTATTAGTAAGTTATGCTACAAGGAATGTGACATTAGCCCACAAGGATACTGGGTCTTCCTTACACCTGAAATTTCATCTTTTTTTTTTTTTTTGTGTTATATTGCACATCTTTTGAGGGCTTGTTTCTAGCAAGCATACACAAGCAGGAATTGACTTTGCCCTTGTAGGCTTCACATGCTAGTGTTTTTTAACCATTTTTACGTGATTTCATTACTTGTGCTCTTTATCAAAGCATGCTTTTTAGAAGACTGTCAGTATTACTGTAAAGTTCAGTTTTGATCTTTTCAAAATGCATGAGAAGCCTTTCACTTTGAATCTTTTAATCATTATAGGAAAAACAGGAAAAACGATAAGAGAGTCTGTTAGAGAAAATATGGCTTTATAGAAATTCTTATGAATAAAGGCCCACCAACTGCACAGTCAAATCTCATTACTCCAATAATACTGATTGGCTTTCACTTTATTTCATTTTTTTAGCAGCAAAGTAGTAAGACTGTTCTAAGTGCAAGTAATTTTCAAAGGGAATGGCTTTGACATTTGCACAAAGCGAAGGGATAAAAGAATGCTGAAAACATGAATACATGCAAGAATCTAGCTGTATCAGAATTCTCTGAAAATTAGCGGCAAGGGTGACAAAAGCAATCCAATTAATTTAGGAATACTAGGTTTTACTGCCTTTTGCAACTGGACGTGCCTATCTCATATTGGCCTTATTAGCCACCAGCGTGCTTGTAACAAACATGGGTAGAGCCCTCCCCAAATCTTCATTTGCAAAGCCTAGCCATGATGATGACTAGGTTTTACTAAAGTGAAAAAAATCTGCTTTCTTGACTGTGAGATCTCTCTGCTTTGGAAATGTTGATAAAGAAACACACTCCTTTATAATCTAGAATTTATTCATGTCGTAATATAGAAGAGAGATGGTCTTTCTTACTGTTCATCATCTGTCACAATCTTTCCCTCCTTGGTCAGTCCATATCCTTGTTAGTATCTTTCACTATAGATGACATCAACCCTTTCCTGAGTTTTAAAAATTATGATAACTGCTAAGGTTCACCAGAAACTACTTCATGAACAGACTTTGTGTTTTCAGTACTTTGCAGTAGTTCAAAATGTGGTAGCTCCACCTGCCAAAATAGCTGACCTCCTCAAGATTGTCAGAATTTTTAGACTTGACCTGCACCTTTTTGTACAGTGGTCATGCTAGTTAAAAAGAATTCGAAGCAAATGCCAAAATGTACTCCAAAGAAAAGGGACTGAAAAGGTGAATCACTATAGGATAAATCTTTATTCACATCTTATTGCAAGGTAGAATGAGTAATTATCAAGCAGGGCTGCTGATTAGTAATTGTGTTTTATGGACTATATTGGCATTTTTCCAGAGGACAAATTTCTGTAAAGTTGAGAGAGGTATTGATTTTAATCTGTTCAGAGGAATAGTTTGCCAATTAATTACCTCTTCTGGCAATTCTAAGTGCAGCTAATGTTAAAAATCCTAGTGTCTTCCATAAGAACAGGATA